AACAATGTTTACACACAAGCAAAGCAAGCACAAGAAAAACTATTTACTTGAATCCACCACACTCGTATAGACACACAAGTAATTTTAGATGGGAGCTACCTTGCTAAAGAGACGCAAGATTCCAAACGTGACAAGCATTGCCATCCATCCTCCCAGCACGACCCTTGCAATCGACTTTGGCAGCGGGCTCCCGCCCATCCACGCCCCAATCGCCCCGAAAATGAAGAGCCCAGCGCTGGTTGACACCGCCAATGCGATCATCCGGAGCTTGAATCCCTCCACAAACGCCCCGGCAAGCAGGGGAATCATCCCCCCGGAGGAAAACGCGGTTGCGGACGCGAGCGCTGCCTGGATAGGATTGGCGAGATCATCCACATCGATCCCGAGCTCCTCCCGCGCGTGGATTTTCACGGGATCCTCCCGCGAGAGCTCCTCGGCGACCTGGCGCGCCAATCCATAGTGTAGCCCCCGCGTGACGTAGATCTGCGTGAGTTCCTCCAGCTCCTTGGCCACGGCCTCGGGGCCCGACTGGAATTCCTTGCGCTCTTTCTCGATGTCGCTCAATTCGGTGTCGCGCTGCGAGGAGACGGAGACGTACTCACCGATCGCCATGCTGCAAGCGCCCGCGACGAGGACCGCGATGCCGGCAAGCACCGCGGCGCCATTGCGAGCTCCGGTCATGGCGATCATGGATGAGGCGGTGGAGACGAGGCCATCGTTGGCGCCCAGGACGAGAGCTCGCAGCCATGGCGCGCGGTGGGAGTAGTGGAAGTGGCCATTGGGGTGGAGGGGATCGACACCGGGATCGACTTGCGGCGAGCGTGCTGGAGTTCGAATCGGGTGGCGGAATGGAGATGGGGAGTACCTTGGCGTGTGGAAGACTCCCGGGGAGAAGTGTGGCGATGCGCTCTCTGGATCGTTTCTGCTGCGGAATGGCGACGTGATGAGCTCGGATTTTGGCACGGAATTGTCCACCTTGTGGAGATTGCGATGCTCCATCTTCATGGTAGGATTGACGAGAAAAGAGAGAATGGCTTCGAAGATTTGCAAAATTTTTTGCAAAGAATGAGTGGGAGATTGGACTGGAAGAGATTTACGTGTTTATAAAGCAAGCCATGGGTGGAAGGAGAAATGACTATATGGTGTAGCTAAGTTCTAGTATAGCGCAGGCGTTTTCCAGGGAAGAGTGATTTCCAGCACGAGCACTACACAAAGCGAATAAGCTGCCGCAAGAATAGTTCATCTAGTTTGTAGCAGTGAAATTGGAGGGAAATTTTTGTAATGTATACCCCCCATTCCGGGGTTTGGCATATGCCTGTTTGGAAAATTTAGGGTTCTAGGTACTCTTCCCCAGCTATGGAGACGATAGTGGACGATCTCGGCGCTAGCGATTCTGGTGGCACCGATGCCGGGACCGCAGGGTCGATCAGCTCCTCCTCGCCGCTGGGAGCGGTGTTTGCGTTCTGGAAAGGTACTGTGCTGTGTGATTTCGTTGCGAGGAATCCCGCATTTTGCTTGTGGATGCGCCAGATTTCGATCTGGAGAAGGAGAAAGCGAAGCTGGACGAGCAGGGTATTAAGATCGGGGAGAATCAGGACTCGAGCTTGAAGAACAGGCGGAAGCTTGCCGAGAGCACGAGAGGTGAGCTTTGTTTGGGGATTTTAGAGCGCGGGAGATCTGTGGTTTGCCTTGCTTTACAGAATTTAAGAAGGCTGAAAACGAGGAGAAGATCAAGCAAATTCCTGGGCTGCTCAAGGGATACCAGGAAGAGGTTGACAATCTAACCAAGCGTGCCAAGTATGGCGAGACTTCGTTCCTCAGCATATATCAAAAGCTTTTTGAAGCTCCTGATCCAGCTCCTCTACTCGAGCATGCTACTGTAAGTGTTTTTTTTTCCTTTTGCGTTTATGTCTAATGAAACAAGGCGATTTTTATCCGCGATTTAGACGTCGACGGCAAGAGTTTCGGAGCTGGAGTCGGAGAACAGGAAAATGCGGCAAGAGCTGGAAGAGTTTAGGACTGAAGCTGCTCATTTAAAGAACCAACAAGCCACATTGCGCAGGCTAGAGGAAAGGAACAGGCAGCTTGAGCTACAAGTGAGTCACTAACGTTTATAACGGCTTCTTATTATCTTGTGGAATCATTTTCAGATGGAAGAAAAGGTAAAGGAGCTTGTGGAAATGAAACAGCGCAATCTGGCCGAGGAGAACCAGAAGATTCTTGAAGTTCTCAAGGAAAGGTATGGTATTGGCGACGTAGTTTCTAGTATCTGACTCTATATGCATCACTTGCAGAGAAAGCTCTCTTCAGGAACAGTTACGGGCTGCGCACGATAGCGTGCAAAGTATGCAGCGGTTGCACGAGTTTGGACAGAGCCAGTTGTTTGAGCTCCGAGCACAATCTGGTTCGTGAGTTTTTCTACCTTGCCTATGCTGAATCTCTTGGTGTTTGCAGAGGAAGAGCGTGCAGCAAAACAAGCGGAACTTACTCTCTTAAGTGACGAGGTTGAAAGAGCTCAAAGCCGCTTATTAAGTCTTGAGCGAGAGAAGGTATGCCCACAGCGTTTATAACCCCACCTACAGTTAACTTAATACTTATTAGGATCATTTACGTTCTCAATTGCAAGCTGCTGGTAGCCAAGAAGAGGAACTCAAAACAAGGTGCTAGCCCTCTAGTCGATGCAAGCTTCATCTGTTTTATGATATGCTTATTTGAGCAGGCAAGACATGGACACGAGTAACACGTTGGAAGCTTCTTTGGACGCAAAGGAAAAGATCATCTCCGAGCTGCATGCGGAACTTCGTAATTTGGAATCTGCACTTTCAAATCAGAAGAATGAACACATTGCAGAGATCAGAAAGCTAAATGCCTACATTCATGATAAGGTACCTGTTAAACTATGTCGTCATGGTTTATTTACGTGTGTTGCACTGGCAGGAAAACACGCTGCAAAATTTGCAAAAGGAACTTGCAGAGAGACCTACATCTAAACAGTTGGATGATCTTAGGAAGCAAGTGAAAATACTTCAGGTATTTGTTTAGTCTTCTGCACGTGAAACTTAAATGAGTCACATTTGTTAGGCGGTTGGATACAATTTAATCGAAACGGAAGACTGGGATGCTGCAGCGCAAGGACAAGAGATAAGTAAACTTGAAAGCTTACTATTGGACAAAAACCGGAAGCTGGAGCATGAACTTACACAAATCAAGGCATGTTCTCTGGATTGCAACTTGTTGACTTTTCCTTCTGACGATGTTTAACTAGGTACAACTTTCTGAAAGGAAAACTGCACAAGATACCGCTGAAGGAAAAAGCAAAGAGTTAGAGGCGGAGGTTGAACGGCAACGAAGGCTTATTTCAAAACTTGAAGAAGACATATTAAAGGTCTGACGTGCAAAGCATAAGCTCCTGATATTTTCTTTTTCTTTCAGGGTTACAATTCCACTGACAGAAGGGCGAACAAGATAGATGACTGGGACTTATCAGACTCAGGAATTACCGATCTTATTGAGGTAATGAGCTTTTAGTCCTCTGCCGCTGTCGCTTTTATTCATTTGTATACGGACAGCATGGGCACAACAGTCAAGCAGCGGGAAACCAGTTTCAAGAACCAAACTCCATGCTGGAAGTAATCTGTAGCCAGCGTGATCGTTTCCGCCAAAGGCTAAGAGAATCAGAAGAGGTAGTTGTAATAGTATCATCTTAGTGTCCTTTACCATTTCTTTTGCAGGAGCTAAGACAAACAAGGGATAAAAACGCTGTCCTTTTAACAGAATTAAACAAGTGCAAGGCGGACAACTTAAAGCTGTATGAGAAAATACGTTATATTCAAGACTATACGAAGGAACGTCCTCTTTCTAGAGGAACCAAGAAGGTTTTCCATAATTTTTTACTCTTTTTTTGTCTAATGTTTACACGTAATTCAGAAAATCGATGATCTGGAAGGTGGCATGGTCTCAGATATTGAATCGAAGTACAAGAAAATTTACGAAGATGACATAAACCCTTTCGCTGCGTTTTCAAGAAAGGTAGCTATTCCATACTTAACATCTATTGTTGCTGATGTCTTGATTTGGAAAGGAAAAAGAACGGAAGTACAAAGACCTGGGGATTAGAGACAAAATTACGCTTTTAAGCGGACGCTTCTTGCTCGGAAATAAGTAAGTCATCTGCGCTGAAACATTTTCCATTCATCCCCTTCTTCAGATACGCCCGGACGTTTGTTTTCTTCTATTCTATCGGACTGCACTTGCTTGTTTTTGCAAGTCTATACAAGTTTTCATCAGTCAGCTATCACAAGTAAGCGGTTCAAAATGTATATCTAATCTAACTGTCATTCTCTGGTTTGTAGTGTTACCAAAGATGCAAGCTTTAGAACCGAAATGTTAAAGAACGCATCACAATTGTCCTCCCCAGATAACCCCCTACAGTAGTAGACTTCTCGGTTTGTAAATAACGGGTAAGTGTTTGCAGTCTTAAAAGTCAACTTACTAATACTTGCCTTTCAATCTACAACTCAGTTCTTCCAAATCTTGACGATGTTCTCCTGCTTCGATAGCAAGCCAAAGGTGCCTCAAAGCTAAGTGTCTGAATTAGTTCGACATACTTATGTTTTTTTTTTCCTTTTTGTTCAGCATATTAAGTACTGCCGTATGCTATACTCTAGAGAGCTCATTTGTGTCAGAAGAGGCCGCAATGAGCTCCGAATCTCCGAAGTCGGTCGATGGTGTCAAGAGCCGCATTGCTCCATATGGCCTGTGGTTGCTGATTGCGCTTGTGGCTACGAATCTCTTGACGCTCTACACTTTTGCTATTCATCCGGCAAGCGGATCTGAGCTGTTCTACTCGGGAAGCAGAGATACTAGTCATTCAGTCGCGAAGCTCAACGAGGCACTGGACAATCTCGAGGTAACCCAGAGAGAACTTCTTCGAGTGAAGCAGGAGTTGAGTGAGTCCTTATCTCTCCTGGACGCACTGTCCAGAGGCAAAGCAGCAGGGGACAGGCCTAGAGATGGAGATGACTGCCAGTGCTTTATATCCAAAAAAGACGACTTTCCACGAGCAGATGAGTTTCAGAAGCTGGTCACTCCACAAATGCTCCCTCTGGGATTTAGCTCGCAGCTCAAGACCGACGCTCTTACGTCTCCAGTCGGGCACGCCTGCCTGATGCACAAGGAAGATCTGGAAGAGTACATGCAGTACAAAGCTGGGGAGCTTTGCCCCGACGACGAATCTCTCACTCAGAAGCTGCTAACAGGTGGCTGTGAGCCTCTTCCTCGAAGGAGATGCTTCGCTAGATTGCCTGCCGGCTACAAGGAGCCCTTCCCTGTGCCAAAGTCGTTTTGGACTTCTCCACCCGACGAGAACATCATCTGGACCGCCTACACTTGCAAGAGCTTCGAGTGCCTCAATGCCAGGAAGAAAAAGCGTATTTTCGCCGACTGCCTCGACTGCTTCGATCTTGAAGGCAGGGAATCCGAGCGCTGGGCTGGAAGTGCTACTGCTGGTGGTGGCCTGGATCTCTCGATCGAAGAGGTGCTATCGTTCAAGCCCGGGGGCTCCATCCGGATCGGTCTGGACATTGGCGGGGGCAGCGGCACGTTTGCAGTGAGGATGCGAGAGCACAACGTGACCATCGTCACCACGACGCTCAACTTCGACGGGCCTTTCAACAGCTTCATCGCTCTTCGAGGCGTGATCCCGCTCTACCTCACGGTCTCGCAGCGCTTCCCCTTCTTCGACAACACTCTAGACATCGTCCACTCGATGCACGTCCTCAGCAACTGGATCCCGCTGGGGATGCTCGACTTCATACTGTTCGACATCGATCGGATCCTCAGGCCCGGGGGGATCCTCTGGCTGGATCACTTCTTTTGCATCGAGAACCAGCTCAACGAGGTTTACATCCCCATGATCGAGAGGCTGGGCTACAAGAAGCTGCGGTGGACCGTGGGGAAGAAGCTGGATCGTGGGCCGGAGCTCATGGAGAGATATCTTACTGCCGTGTTGGAGAAGCCATTTACCAGGTAGAAAAAAAATGCTAGATGCTATCTGTCACCGAGTGTGCACGATGTGATTTGAAAGCCAGACAGTTTTGAAACGTCCAGACAAGCTTTTCGTTAAAGTCAAGAGGTCTCCAACTTCAGTATTGTCAGGACAATTGGATTAAAAACTTCTGTGATATATGAGAATTTACTAAGAAAATTATTATGAATTAAAAGTTTTAAATCTTTAAAATATTAGAAAATTTTAAAGCAAAAGAGAGTGTCAGCATCAAGAATTTCTTTTGTTACTTAATCCTTATATCACTTTGCTGATGTGATTGGCAGACCATAGGGTGACTTCATTTAGACAGCGTGATAGCCACTTAAGTATATATGCAATGCCAATCGTTGATAAATGATGTAGCTATAAGAACATCCTTGGAGAAACCAAGAACGATAAATTTACCGTAGCCTTTGCGGCCTAATTTTTCTTGCACCTTCAATGCATGACACACAAATGGTCTCATGAACAAAAGCAATCCCGGAAAGGAAGTGAGACAGTAGAAAAGAACGCATCTCTTTCAGAACAGACGTGAGAAATATCACAGCAGAGAATTGCAGAAGCTCCAGTATGTCTCAGAATTGGATAACAGCATCAGCATTTGGAAGCTAGAGCAGAAATCCAAGGAATTAATTCAAACAATGTAGATAAAAGAAGATTAAGGAGCTCGCTCCAGTATTACCAGGTAATGCAATGCATCAGGAGGTAAACGAGGCAATTACGAAGCACATGAGGAACATAGAGGACTGCCGCAGGGAATATCATCTTGCAAATAAATTTCTTCCACCACAATCAAGATCACCTTGGATTGCCTCTTGAACTTGCAAGGAATCTGCCTGAGCACCAAGGCATTTAGGATGATAATAAATCGTGGTGGCACACAACAGCCCACTGACGTGGTTTCTCCAAATTTAACTATATGGAACACCCCAGTGATATAAATAGGACTTCCAATATGAAAAAACTATATAAATTACATTATCTAGTTTGGCATATAGTTTTATCGTATGAGGTTTGAAATAATTTTTTAATGATTTTTATAATAGTGCTTTATCTGGATTTAGATATATATTTTTTATATAGTTTATGTATTAGTGTGACAAATACTTTTTAGTATAGTGTCTTACTTTGTTTTTTCATCAAATGCTATATGATTTTTCATATGATAAATATCTAGGATTTTATTTAGTTTTTGAAAAATAAATACATATGTGTTTAAGATATAGTTAATTATATAGTCAATTATTAAATTCAATATGTCGTTTAGAAAAATAATTTTCTTTAATTTTACATATATTTATGATTTGATTTAGCTATATAGTTTTTACATGCTTCCATTTATCTCATAAAATATTTCAATGTTTTGAATAATTAACATACTCTCATTTCAAGTATTTATCACCTATATTCCTATCACCAAATGCCCAACATTTAAAGCATGTCTAGCAAGATACTTTAAATTTTCTTATATTTTTGTTTTTATTTCGCAAGGTAGTTGGTAGAACTTGTCTTTCATCTTGTAAAACTATTTAATATTGTGAAGGGTAACTTCCTTTTCAATGAGTAGCTTGAGGATTCCTTTTAAAATATTTATGTCCAAATTTTTAAATTTGGCCTCACACAAGAACCAAATTAATCATACATATTACTTGCTTAAATGAAAATTAAAATACCTATTTCATCTTTTATAAAGTGTTTGGGCTTGTTTATAGAGGCTTCAAAGTTACCATTCTTTGTTTTCATTCTTCTACAATAAAAATTAGCTTAGAACATATTTAAATATGTTAGAAAATCTTTATTCACCTCATCTTATGCTACAAAGGTAGGTTGTTGAGGCTTTTGAATGACACTAGCCTTAGTATTAACATCACTTTCTAGAGCTTTGAATTTATAGAGAAACTATATAGTAAAATATTTAAAACCATACAATAATCTACCTTTAGAAGGGCTTTCAACAATGGGGAGAACATTCTTTCATGCTCTGAAATTTAGCTCAAAACATGAACTTTTTGCCCTAGAATATGGGGTAGAAGGGGAATATACCCCTGTGCTCATGCCCCTTAAAAGTGGAATATTCCAGGGAATCTCACTTAAAGCTCTAAGCCATCTCCTAACAGGTGACTATAAGGAAATATACTTGCTCTATCACGCATGAAAACCCATGGCCAAAGTGTTGGTGTAGACTCCAAAATGATGCCTTCTATTGGCAATTGCTGTGAGGAAAATAAACCAAAGAAAAGAGAAAAAGAACAAAGAGAGTGTGGAGTTCTAGATCAAGGGGAAATCACATGGGAAAACTTAACAAAAGAACTAGACACTAAAACAAAAGGAGACAAAAGTGGAGAAAAGAAAAATGAAAATAAAATAAATAAAAGAAAAAAAAACAAAGGAAAAAAATAAACAGAAGGTGGAAACATAAAATTAAGTCGAAAAACCACTTACCTAGACTCTAACTTAAAGCCTCTTCACCTCTGAAAAGTGCCTCAAACATAACTCAATTACTCTCAAAGTTCCAAAGGAATGAAGTAATGTAAGTGAATATGTTACCTGAGAATAGTCACTTTAAGAATGATGGAAGACAATAGCCTAGCAAATGAATGGTAGAATATAGTGATGACTAATTTTAATAGAGTGATTATGGAGGGGATCTGGCAACTTGTGAATATGGTCAAAATGGTTAGCAGTATGTGTGCTTGTCGCAGAAGAAGGAAATGCTCACAGTCTTTGAGGGCATCTACTACTAGAGGAATGTGGTATTGGGTAAAATGTTTGCCCAAAGTCATGCCTAGTCTCTTGTGTGCATCAAGTCCAAATGGCTCTCAAAAATCAATTGTTAAGTGTCTTGGATTTGCCTGTACTTGTGCATTGAGATAATCTTTGTTATATCTTGAGTTTGGCACTTTAGATTTTGCTGCTCCTGGTGTGTCTACTAGGGATCTCTAAAATCATGTGTAAATGGTGAGAAAAGTGAAGAAATGTGGACTAGGCAATTGTAGTGAGTGGTAAATTTTGGTGTAGCAAGTAGAAGAATGAATATATTGTGACTGTGAGTGATAAAGAGTGATGTTGATGATAGATGGAGTGAAATCATATGAAGAAAACTTAGGAACCGTGAGTAGCAAACCATGAAATGGATAAGCTCTCAAACAAGAAGAGTTGATGCAGCCTCAAGGTGAAAGCCCAGGCTCATGTTTGCTCCACTTATAGGATCACGTCCTAGAAGAGAGAAGAAAAGAGGTGAAAGAAAAGAAAAAGAAAGAAAAAACAAGGGATAAAAAGAATAATAGAAAAGAAGTCATTGCAAAGATGTGTCCATGAAGCTTCAAACTGTTGTATGTAGTATGGAAGGAAGTGTCTCTAAAGTAGTGAATTCAATCCAAAGCACTCATAAGAATCTAGTAGGTAAATGAAGTGTTGGTGGCTATAAAGATGCCATGATCACTGTGGGTGATGCCACCACTAGTATCTTATGGCTGAAGAGGTCCAATATGACATCCCAAGGCTGGAAAAGCTTTGGAAAAGAGCTGGGTTGGTGGTGGAGAAAAAGTGCAACTCTCACCACTTTTGGTTGATAGATAATTTGCAAGTTTTTGGCCTGTATGCACCTCATCCATTTATTG